AATTTGTTAAAATAGTTGTCTTAAAGTGAAGCTTGTTAGTTTGCTTTACCGTTGGGAATGCCACTTTGCCCTTTTTGGTTAATGGCTCATCTTCATCGGATTCATCTTTGTCATCGACATCTTCCTCCTCGGACGTTTCCTTCTTTGATTTCTTCGGTCGGCCAGCGGCTATTTATAAAAATGTTCTTTCAGTAAGAAAATCAGTTAAAATTCAATTATGCTTTACATTTTCCAGCTGGCTTTGACTTGTTGTTGGCTTTGCTATTTTTCGCAGGCGTTGTAGGCTTCTTACTCTTTTTGGGACGTTCCTCCTGCAAGATGAGAAATAAATTATTTATATACCATTTTATTACAGTTAGTTTTAGTTTTCTCCGAACATACCTCGCTTTGGTCGCTGCCAAAGTCTGACAATTCCTCCTCTTCTTCATCTTCTGATACTTCTTCCTCGTCACTTTCCGAGTCCTTACGCTTTCGCGCCGAAGCGCCTCGTCCACGTCCTCGTCTGCCAGCTGGAGCGGCCGCAGCGGATCGTCCACGCTTGCCAGAAGTTCCTCGCTTGCGCTTAGGCACCTAATGGAGAAAGTCAAATGTTAGTCTAAAGCTATTCGACCTAAGTAAAGGCATTTGCATACATCACTATCTGCATCTGATAGCTCAGATTCTTCTTCGTCCTCGGAATCTGAATTTCTTCGACGACTCTTGCGTGCTGGGCGCCCTCGGCTGCCACGAACTCCGAGCTTGCGACCGGCTCCAGATGCACCACCACCGCCGCCGCCACGCCCCGCGTCCGAGTCTGAATTTCCCGAAGGATTGTACTATTAAAAAGAAATGAAACATGTTGGCTTGGACTAATCAACAACTTATTGAGGCGACTTACATCTGAGCCAGATTCAGAATCATCATTTCGTCTCCGCTTAGCCACTGTCACTTTGTGCTCGCTCTCCTCAGAGCTTGATAAGTCTACATATGCAGACATTTCTGCAAGTACAGTGAAGCATGTAAATAAACGACTCGAACAACATTGAGTACTTGATCAATATTTACTTTTGCCCGCCGTTGAACGTTTTGGACGTCCAGTGGAATTGCGAGCTGAGCCTCTGCCGGCGCCGGCGCTCGTTTTACTACTCTTGCGCTTCTTATCGTCTTCGCTGGCAGCATCATCATCTTCGTCGATGTCTTCATCGTCCACCTCCTCCTCTTCCTCCTCACCCTGTTCAATGCAAAGTGACTCATCTGGCTCCATTAGAAATTTGAGCACTCGCGAAGCGATCTCGTCCTTGCTTCCCTTGCGATCTAATGTCAGAATTTCGCAGATACTACGCAAAGATTTGTTATCCACCTTCTTGATGGATTCATATTTCTTTTTGTATTCCGACGAATCCTTGGCAAATTCAAATCCAGCGAAAGAACGCAGATTCTTTTTCACCACATTATTCTTTCCTTGTGCGCCAAAGCAGAGCTGCATATTCAAATAGTAAATTAGTTGTTGAATGCTGGCTTGAACGTTTGCTTTCAATGTCAACTTACCGAATGTAGCACCTGGAGGCCATCCACTCGTGTCTTGTTAATATTCTCATTGATGCGATCAATCTCGGCCAGAGCCACAACATTCTCGTCATCCTCGGCCACCTCGTTATTCTCATCGAGGCCATCGCCCTCGCCCTCCTCGTCATCGTCCTCATCTTGTTTGTCCGAATTCTCCACCTTGCCGTTCTTGGCCTTGGCTTCAGGTTTTTTGGCGACCGCCGACTTGTCCGCTCCGGCTGAGCCTGCCTTGGCCTTAGCACCGTCTGTCGCATCATTTTTCTTCTTCTCCGATGTGGCTGTTGGTTTCTTTTCCTCATCACTGACATCGTCGTCCTTCTCATCCTCGCTTCCCTCCTCATCCTCCCCCTCGTCGTCGTCAGTCTTGGCAGTCTTCTTAGCGCCATTATTTACTTTCTTTGCTGCAGGCGACGCTGGCGATTCCGCCTTTGTGTCTTTATCGTCTGATCATAAATAATAATTGTTTAATATAAATGTTATGTTACTTAAAGTAACAAATTCTTAGCTATAATTATGGATCTATTATAAATTATACAAACTCAAACTGAGATATATAATTATTTTTCCCCTTTTTTTGTAATTAAATTTATTAAATCCTGTTGAATATATATTTTAAAAAAATAATTAAAATATTTTTGGTTGTATTCACGCTTGGGAAGTTCAATGCTAAGTTTGTTTTGGGAGCGCAGAGAACTATGAAATATGAATATTTAATTTACCTTAGCTTCTACTATACAAAAACCATATTGTTCAGGGTTCAGTATGAACAAATAGCCAAGGATATTTTTTGCTTCACTTTAATTACTATTATTATTCTTGTTATTTATTTATTTTTTTTTTTTTTTCGAAATAAACACGTGCAGAGTTAGAACGAAATTGACTTATTTTCGCACACATCTTTCTTATTAGAATTGTTCGAGTTCGAACCCACACCCCACCAGCATACGAAAAATTCTCGCATTACATACGCTCGTTCGCGGCATTTTAGACAGCAGCGCCACGGCCAACGTAGCAGCAAACGCGCCAAGCGACGTACATACATAAATGTGTTGAGCCGATATGCGATGCTTTTTACGAACGCGCGCAAATTCATTTTATGATTTTTGTTTTTCTCGCTCTTTCTTCGCGCAAACATACATACATACACACATTCTCAGAGCAAATACATATGCATGTGTGCATACGTGTGTTTCTTTTATTTACCTGCATCTACTGTTGGCGCGGTCGCAGCCACTGCGTCTCCAACAGCTTTTTTATCAGCGACGTCATCAGTAGCGGGTGACGCTGCTGCATCGATCTCTTTCTCTGCATTTTTAGCTGCCTCAGTTTCGGGTGGAGTAGGCTCCTCTGCATTTTCTACCGTCTTTGACTCGATTACCTTATCAGCGGCATTTTCTTTGGTCGCCGTCTCCGGTTCTGGCGTGTTGGCATCCTAACGTAAATAAAAACAAAAGCAAAACACAATTTTATTACACTTGCAAATTTTTGGCGCCGCTTACACTTAGGCACTACCACTACCATCAGATTGTGCGTTGCTCTGCCACTGGTTTATGCGTTTCAGTTAATTTCTTTTTTTTTTTTTCAAATGTTTTGTGCACAAGTTTTCTTTCGAGCTTTGCGTTTGTGTATGCGTGTCTATGGGGGCATTCGGCATGCACATGTTGTCCTGCTCACTCGCACCAAAACCTAGACACAAGCAACATACAAACGCAACGACGCCATGTTTATACACATAAACGAATGGTCGAAGGGGAGAAGACCGATTTGTCGAGAGCAATATTTGTTGCGCTTTAGTTTCGTTGTAAACATATTTGCACTGATTGATTTTTTAATGCGCGTTGATAATAAACAACTTTAACTTGATTTTAATACTATTTGCAGTATTTTACGTACCATATTTTCAATGGTTTTATCTTTTTTTTCGTCAGCCGACATGCTTTTGCTTATGTGTGTGGCGTTAGGGATGAGTAAATATATCAATGTTGTTGCACTCG